GTTCTGAATGCTGATTCCCATAGCATGTCCATATCATATAATACAATTTTCTTTCTCTGCCCTTCCAAAAGCAATAGAACTTGTCATTAAAATATGAATAATATTCATCATTTTCTAAGGTGCCAGGTATCAATCTCACATGCCCCTCTCACTGGCCTTGCGTCAGCAGTGCAGTCTGTAGCAGACAGCTGAGCAAGGAGGTATGGGGAGAGTGTACATCTGGCTCAAGGAGAATGACTAGAACATGTCAGAGCAAAGTTTCAAACTCAGGAGTCTGGCTACAGAACACAAAGGTAGACCATTGTTTTGTAAAGTCCAGGAAATATGAATATATAAAACAGAGCTTCAGCTCACTTAGAACATGAGCTCAAGAAAATGTGTCCCCACCACCCTAAAAGCACTAGTCTGGAGAGTGAGGAACAAGCCCAGCTGGGTCCAACTGTGAACATGGCTGGGGAATGGCTGCTAGGCCTGACCTCTCTGAAGATCTGCTTCCCAGGGCACTTCCAACACCATATAAAATTCAGGGTTACTGGACACCAGTGGTTCACACCTGCAATCCTAGCTACTTGTGATGCTGAGATGGTTGGGATTGAAGTTTGAAGCCTGCATAGGCAGAACAAGTTCTGAAACACCTTGATGAAGACCAAGATGTAGTAGCGCATGTCTAAACAGGAAATGAGACCCTATCTCAAAATCAGCCAGCAGAAAAATAGGGCTAAGAATATAGATCAACTGTTCTGTTAGAGCTCCTGCCTAGCAAGCATGAGGACCAGAGTTCAAACCCTCATATGGAAAATAAAAATGATGCCGGTCTGAATGGAATTCAGGGCTTATTATAGTAAAAGTTATTTTATCCTAAATACTGTATTTGACAAGCTTGTGGTGGAGCAAGGGTCCAGCCAATTTCTGGGCTGACTCCAAGACCACCTAGACACATGCACACAGAGGCACCAGAACCCACACAGCTCCCATACATCACAGGCCCCTGCTTCCTTTCCAAGTCCAGCATCCCTCATTGACATGTATATTCTATATTGTGGTAGTTCAGACTAGAGTAGACCCAAAGAATATATAGGAAGGACTTCTAAGCCCAGGTTACTGTTTTAAGTATACAGGCAAATGTACTCTCTTCCCATCCACATCTTAATATCTCCATCCCCCACCCTGTCTTTTATGACCCTGCCCCGAACTTCACACCTTGTTATTGCTTACTCTACCAAAATTCCACGAAGAATCAGTCCCTTGCAAACTTAAAACTCACCATCCTATCAGGAAGGTATAAATGTGCGTGCTTCAGGGGAAACTTATAGACACACCATGTAGACAAAAACATTGGACTTGAAGAGGACAGATTCTGGTTATCACACAGATGTTTTAGGAGACAGCATCCCAAACACACTGAAGCCTGCTCCTACTCTAACTCCCAGCCAGGACAGACTGAGGAAGGGTTGGCCATACAGGGCAGCTTGCTTACTGCTGAATGTTTCTGAGTGGCTGAACATGTCCCACTATTTGCGATTCATTGCCATCCTTGATGACAGTGGCTGGGCCACCAGGGACCACATGGGAAAGGCTGTACAAAGACCAGCATCTTTCCAGCTTTTCCAGGACCAGCTTCCAAAGGAAACTAAACTAGGTGCTCTTACTTCTAAAGCATCCCACTCCTGGGGAGGGCAGGGCAATGGGTTTCCCCTCTCTTCCAGAGCCAGGTGGGACAAGTGGTCTGCTCAGAAAGAACATCCACCCCCACCTTGCAGTAGATTAGGTTATAGAAGGCTGCAGACAGAGACTGTTGGCTTTGTTCCGTTTTCACTCATCTTGCCATAAACAAGTGTTGTCTTCAGGCAAAGTGTTCCTGTTCCTGCTTCTCCCACTACAGCTGCTAATGGGTTTCAGTAGCTGGTTAGCCAGAACTGTTAGCAGTGGGACCACTTCCTCCCTTAATGGGCTCTCCTTCCTGTGCGGGAACAGTAAATTCAGGAGATAAATCAGCCTCTGTTAACATCAAGCAGCAGAGGGAGGGTGGTGGCCAAGGGTGAGCCCAGAGACAAGGGTTGAAAGCAATTGAATTCTCACCAGCTCTCTAATTGGTTGTCACTGCCTGCTGGAAGCCAATGACAAACTTTGAGCTTGCCCAGAGCAGTCCCATGGGCTGATGTCCAGGACAGGGGAGCTCTTAGAAACTGGACTTTGGGCCAGCCAGGCCACTAGGCCATTAGGCTGTGACCACCTGCTTCTGTTCAGAGTCTGCCTGGACACTTATCTTCCAAATAAATAGCCCAAATGCAATAGTCGAAAGAAACAAGAGCTCAGACTCATTCACTGCCTTTGAATTCAATCATCTGACAGATGCCTTTTTCAGTCCCATGCTCAAAACCTTTGTGGACTTTGTGGAAAGTGAGAGGAAATGACTCAAAGATGAGTCAGGGATGAGCACTCCCTTCTCCAGCTGAGGAGGTTCTGCTCGGAGGAGGAGTGATGACATAGATGTAAATAAGTAACAAGGTGTGGGAAGTAGGGCTCTAGGGAGGTTCCAGTAAGGTGTGATAGGAATTCAGAGCAAGGATTCTCTCAGGAATCCTAGTGAGCACCTAGTGTCTCATGCCTGTAAAATCTAGGAGGAGACTGAGAGCTGAAGATTGAGATTCAACCAATCTGGGTAGAAAAAAATCCCCCAGGCTCTCATCTCCAATTAACTAGCAAAAAAGCCAGAAGTAGTAGTTCAAATGGTAAGTGAAAAAGCTAAGGGAGAATACCTAGACCTGAGTTCAAGGCCCAGTATGGTCCCACACATGTAAAATAACAAAACACAGTAGCCAAAAGAATCATCTCCACAACTGCTAGATTGCTTTGTAGAGGCAAGTTTGCAATCAAACTAGTGAGCAGTTATGAGTCATGAGATGTTTGGCAGGTAATTTTTTTCAACATTTACTAGTGTCACCAAGATTTAAGCACCAAGGACACAACAGCAACTGTGACAGCACAAATCCCACCTATGTGAATTTTATGTAAATAACATACCCAGACCTACTTAGATTACCTGGGAGAGTATACAGGAGAGGGAATCATCAACACCCAGGCTATAGTAACACTGTGCATATAACTACAACAGTTCTGTGTGTGCCACAGTGAAAAGGTTGAGAACACCTGTACTGTGGCTCAGCAATACCATTGTTACTCATTCTCTACCAGGTGATTAAATTTGGTAGCCCATTCTAGGAATTTGATTTCAAGCTCATCTGGAAGCAGCAAAGCTATTTTTTTTGTTTGCCCATACTGGGGCTTGAACGCAAGGCCTGGGCACTGTCCCTTAGTTTTTTCCCTGAAGGATGGTATTCTACCACTCAAGCCACACTTCCACTTCCAGCTTTTTGTTGGTTAGTTTAAGAGTCTCTGACTTCCATGCCCAGGATGGCTTTGAGCTGCAACACTAAGATCTCAACCTTCTGAATAGCTAGGATTACAGATGTGAGTGACTGGCAGCCAGTCAAGCAGAAGGTTCTAAGGTAGAAATCAAATAATTATTTGTCCATCATGTCCAAATGGTCTAAAGCCTCCTGATTTACACAAAGTAAAAGCAAATCATACATAATAATGTGTAAAGCTTTGTATTTTCTATATCTGTCTTCCAGCCCAAATTTCTCCTTTCTGCCATCTCTCTGACTTTACCTCTACCTGCTTTTTTCTCCTCATCTTGCTTTAGCTACACTGACCTCCTGGTTATACCCATAATGCCTACCTCAGGACTTTTGCATACACTGTTCTCTCTGCCTCTTTTTCCTGAATTGTGCACAGCTCACTCCTTCATCTCCCTTAGTTATACCTTTTCTGGATGGTACTTCACTGAGGCTCTCTGAGGCCATCTGATAGATGAGAGCATACTGCTCACTTTCCTAACTGGAATCAGCTTGCCTGCTCTAGGTTGCACTTACTTATAGACACCTCTCCAGTCCCTGAGGTTTACAGGCCTAGGAGGGTGGCTTTGCTAGGGCTCAGGGCCTAGCATGGTCCAACTAAACAAGAAAGCCTGGCATAGGGTAAAAGTAGGCCAGATGGGAGTCCCAGTGTCCCCACAAAGCCTCTCCTCCTTCAGCAAACCAATCATGAGAAAAGGCCAGTTGTGAAGGTACCAAACCATAGGAGTCTATTATGAGTTTTCCTGAACCCTGTGACTTTTAGACATGCAAAAGGGCATCTGTCATGCTGGCTACAAGTCCCTACCATTGACAATTCTCTGAGCCTGGGGCCTGGTGTGCAGATAGGGGCTGGGTTCCCCACAAGAGAGACCCAGGAAATTTCCCTGACAGACACTGAAATGGAGCAGTCTGCGGGGCTGTAGGGCAATGATAGGTCCTATCTTTATAGGGGACTCTGGGGGTTATGGGAGCCTCTATTATCACAGTTAACTCTTCCCCAGGTCCTATCTCCTAGAGCCACCCCAGCACTTTTCTCCTTCCTTCTGAGACTCCTCTCCCTCTGCCCAGCAGTACAAATCCATTTTCACTATTCCAGAAGATAGAAGGGGTGACAGAGAGGTGGGATTCTTGAAGACAACAAGCCAGCCCCCTTTCAAAAGAGGGAGGGTGACCCCCCCAAGCCCACCACTGCCTTGACTCCCTCCTCTTTCACCTGGGGCTGGCAGTCCCGTAAGGGGACAGCTCTCAACAAATGCACTTCTGGCCAGAGTCAGGAAAGCTGCCAGGCTCTGAACAGATTCCGATTACAATGCAGACATCATTCCCAATCCCCCATCAGGAGAGTAGATCCAGACACGGGGGAGGCAGAACTCAGTTTGACAGCAAGTCTCTTTCTGTAAAAATATGAACTGAGTTCATTGAGTCAGGCAGGCAGAGGCCACCTGCCACCCATCTCCTGCGACAGTGCCAGAACAGGAATTACAAACTGCCAGTGTTTCTCTCAGGACAACAGCCCAGGGGTCCCCAGAGCCATGCTCTCCCTCCTCCCGGACGCCCTCCATCCAGCTGGCAGGCACTCACCTTGCAGAAGCCCGGCATGCCGCTTTCTAACCAGGACCCCGCCGACCGGCACTGCGCTGCAGGAACCGCGCGAGCTGCCTCGCGCGCAGCCTCTGCCGCTGGCCCAGCGGGTCCTCGGGGCGGCGGTGCCCGGCCTTATCGCTGCCCGCGCGCGGACGCTATCGGCTGGGAGCGCGCGGAGGGCGGCGCCCAGCGCCGCGTGTGGCCCGCAGATTGCCGGGCTGCGCACTCTGGGGCCTCGGGCTCGGCGGTCGCTCGCGCAGCCTCTGAGGCCCTGGGGAGCAAGTGGAGGGTCCAGGTTCAGGGAGCTTGCAGCGTCCCTCCTGGAGTGGCGAGTGTGGGGCTGCCGGACGGGGGCTCTAGCTCTGCTTACCATGCTTTCACAGGGGGCCTTGTGTGCTTTAATTTCTGGTTTGCGAGGAATCTGGACACAATCTTAATAACATGGGGCCCAAGATGCGCGCGATCCTGCGAATCAGGGGTGAGTCATCGGCAGATAGCGGACCGGGAGGGAAGGGGGCAGCTGCTGTCTCCCCTGCCAAACTCTAGCAGTCCTGGCTAGGAATGGCTCTTTTGCAATATCCGTCCAGATCAACGATGGGACCAAGTGGCATCTGCCCAGAGTGGCTTTATCCGGTGAGGACACCGTGCCCTGGAATAGCAGCTGGCGGTTGGCAGAGGGAAGAGATGACCCAGAGGAACCTCGGTCTGAGGCCTGGAGAATGGCAGGTATCCCTGGATACCTCCGGATGGCCTCCTGAAAAGGGCTCTCTTTGTGCATTCAGAGGCTCTCCAGCCTTCTGCTTCCCTCACTAGGCTGAGGTTGGTCCAGGTCCCCTGAGGAGGCAGCCATCTGGCTTAGGATCTTCACTTCAGAACCAAACGGGCCCCTGCTGTGAAGGCACAGCTGCCATGGAACAAGGGCCATCAAGAGCCTGGCCATTGTGACCCCCTGATTCCCACAGCAATTGAAAAGCGCCCCCCCCGTGCCCCCCCCCACACACATTGGAGGCCAGCCGACCTCTGCCTTGATCCAGCTCCTGACACTGCAGTGAGATGGCAGCTGAGTTCCAGGCTATGTTCAGACTAAAAATAGCTGCCCCATAAGGCACAGGTCCTTAAGAAGGCACTTTGGAAGCTCTGGCACAAAACAATGTTTGTTTGTTTTCCTTTTAAAAAAGGTGAATGGGATAGGTAGAGCTCAAATATATAAAAGAAGCAAATCTGTTTAGATAGGACTTAAAATAACCCTATGGTATGACGGACGACCCATGGTCTTATTTGGCAATAAATATAGGACTATAGCTAGTTCATGATGGGGAGTGCCATCCAGCACCCTATTCAGGCGGGGACTGACTTTGGATTAATAACAGACCTAGTACCTAGGAGATGCTCAGTAAGAATTTCTGAACTTAACTGGGCACCGGTGACTCACATCTGTAATCTGAGCTACTCAGGAGACTGAGGTCTGAAAATTGTGGTTTTAAGTCAGTCTAGGCACAAAAGTCCATGAGACTCTATCAAAAAGCTATGACTCAAGTGGTAGAGTACTAGCCTTGAGGGAAAAAAAAAAAAGCTCAGGGACAGTGCCCAGGCTCTGAGTTCAAGCCCCACTACTGACATTAAAAAAAAAAAAGATCTGAACTTTAGCCATGCTCAAAAATAAGATCAAAACGACCAGTCCTGATCCAGGGAAGAAAAAGCACAGTATCCCTTAGGAGTTCTAGGCCCTGAGACCGGTACCACAACTATGCATGATGTCACTGTGATGTAGAAAACACTCTGTAGGTACAGACTAAAATGCCAAGTCTTATCCTTAACCTTGCTAGGTGGCAGCACAGTCCCTCAAAAGTCTCTGAATCCCAGGACTCCAGCAGATCAGCCACTCTGGAGCCAGACTGCCTCAGGATTTAACCCTAAAACCTCACCACCCCTACACCCACGCACGCATGTGTGCACCTACACACACAACACAAGACTCTTTTCCCAAGGAGACATCTAAGTGGAGAAAGACCAACTAGGAACAGATGAAGCAATCAGACCAAAAAGTGTTGAACTACCAGAGTGACTTGGCTGTGGGCTTTTTGTTTTTGTTTTGTTTTTTAAGTAATATGGGGGATAACAGGTAAAAAAAGTTAATCCAGTGCCCAGCAATGACTTGGTTTTCAGAAGGTAGATTTCTCATGTACTCAGGGATTCTTCAAATTCACCCCCAAAAGCAGTGGTCCTGAGACAGGTCACAAAGATGAGCATGTCTTGTGCTGTGAGCTGGAGTGCATTCATTTGTCACTTCCTTTATTACCAGGCTATCTCCAAGAGTTCTCACAAATTCTGTGTCATATAACACTTCTTTCCTTTAATCTTTGAAAGGGAGTCACAAAGTCCACCCCAATGCTTGAGGATAACTAAGGCCAGGTTATTTCAGGTTCTGCTCCTAGACCTGGAAGGGATCACTTGAAAATGCACACTCTCCCACTTGCTAATCCTCCTTGTTCACCACTTCCTGCTTGTTCCATTTCTTTTTTCTTTATCAAATATTGGCAGGTACATTGCTAGGTATGGGATGCTCTTCTAAGCACCGGTAAAATGTTAACCCATGTAAACCTTATAGTCAATCTAGAAGGTGCTCCCTGTCATTAGGCCTATCATTTACAGAAGAGGAAACGAAGGCTTGAGGTAATAAAGAAATCCACTCCTGTGAGAAGCCCTGTGCCAAGCTGAAGCTGTGAGGTCTGAAGGGGCTGAGAGACTGGAATGCCAATTTCTCAGTAAAGCACCCAGAACACTTGGGACTGGAGCCCTGGAAAGATCGAGCAGTCTAGGCAACACAGAAGCTCAAATTAGTGTTAATGTTGGTATGTCTATTGTTTCCCTCCAGCTTCCTATAATAAAGAAGTCAATAATCACTTGTATGCAAGCTATGCCTCCTGTTGTCTTTCTTTCTTTCTTTTTTTTTTTGGTCAGTCATGGGGCTTGAACTCTGGGCTTGGGAGCTGTCCCTGTGCTCTTCAGCTCAAGGCAAGCGCTCTACTGCTTGAGCCACAGAGCCACTTCCAGTTTTCTAGTGGTTTATTGGAGATAAGAGTCTTACGGACTTTCTTGCCCGGGCTGGCTTTGAACTGCGATCCTCAGATCTCAGCCTCCTGAGTAGCTAGGATTACAGGCGTGAGCCACCAATGCCTGGCCTTCCTGTTGTAACTCTAGCCTTCACATATACCTTCAGTCCCTTCCCCCTATACTAACCTTAGTAAAAACATCCCTTAATGTATCCGGGCATCCAACAGCAGAAATCGCTTTGGGTCCCCTGGTCCTCAAAAACCTCCGTTCTTTAACTGGTCTCCCATCATTGTCCTGCCCCCAGTTGCTGCAGATTGTGACACACTCCAGAGAAGTGGGTATTGGATGAAAACTTAAGACTTTAATTTCATCCACCAACATGCTTTCCTTAGTAAGGTGGGCATTAACAACTCTTGAATCTTTCAAATGTTCTTGTGTGTGACAAGTCAAAAGGTTTTTTAACTTGTAAAAGTAGTAAGTCATTTTCCCTTAAAAAACCCAAACATTTGAAAAATGGAAGGTACTTCTTATAATCTCAGTCTTCTTTATACCCTCCCAATATAACCACAGCTATATATTGATGTATTTTCCTCTAGCCTCTCATTTTATTATACATTTTTTCTTTTTATTGTACTATTGGGATGAGATATTTCAAACAAAAAGAAAATTACAGAGAATATCTGTATGAATCCTCCTGTATCTATTCTGAGAGGGCTTTGTTACACTTGCACATCCTGCCAGATTATTTAAAGAAATAAAATGTTATAGAGACTGTAATGCATTATTATTCTACCAACTTCTGTCCTAGATACAATGTGTTGATTAGTCCTAGGAATTTTTAATACAAAAATACTCAAGGCAAGATATCCACAAATCAGTTAGTAGATCCAAGCCACTGCCCTGGTCTTTCATCTGGCTCTACCCATCTCATGCCTCTGTTCCCTGTCCTCCACAGATGAAAAATACCACTAGTCTGTGGCATCATTCCCAGCTGTTCTCTCTCTTTCTCTGTCTGTCTTTGTGTGTGTGTGTGTGTGTCTCTGTGTGTGTCTGTCTGTCTGTTTCTCTCTCTCTGGTCTCTTTCCTCATGCTGGTCCTGGAGCTTGGGTTCAGGAAGGCCTGGGTACTATCCCTAAGTTTCTGTACCCAAGGCTAGCACTCTGTCACTTGAGCCACAGCTCCACTTCCAACTAATTGAAGAAAAGTGTCACACAAACTTTCCTGTCTGGGCTGGCTTTGAATGTGGATCCTCAGTTCTCAGCTTCCCAAGTAGCTAGGGTTATAGATGTGAGCCACTCACACACCTAGCTTCCCTAGCTTCCTCTTTATGCTTTTAACACATATGTATGTCTACATGATGGTTGTTTAGTTTGGAACTTTCCTGTATGTGAATAAATATTTATGTTTTTGATGAAATATTGCATTCTTGGGCTTAGCTCGTCATTTATATTTTATTTTTGCTGCTGTATTATATCCACTCTAAGTAAATACTAACACTACTTATTAATTTTGATGCTACTAGACTTTAGCTCACTTCAGCTTTTTGCTATTAAAACACATGGCTATGGGTTCTGGGGATACAGTTCTGTAGCAGATTGCTTGCCTAGAATGCATAGGGAGAGAGAGAGAGAGTATGAAACAAGCTTCCTGGTGAACATGTGCAAAACCTGCATATGTGCAAGACCTGCCCAGAATGTCTGTCTGTCTCAGGAGAATAGAACTGCTGATCTGCATATATACCTCCAGCCTCACTAGATCCAACTGAGTTGTTTTTGAAGCTGGCTTACCCAAGTTACATTTCCAGTTGCAGATATAGAATTGTTCTAGCTCCTCAACACCGGGTTCTATTAAATTTCTAAGTCTGTGGGAATCTGATTACTAATGAGATTGGGCATCTTTCCCCTCCTCATGGTTATCAATCATTGTGTTTTCTCTTCTGTTAAGTTACTGCTCCAGCCCTTGACCCCCATTTTTGCAACACAG